GCCAGAAACAAATGTTTTCATTGGAATGAGCTAGTATAGGCAAATATTTTAAAAATGATTTTACTTCTTTTGTTAAAAATATCTCATGTTCATTATTTTAAATTCAACTAATGGTGAAAAATACAAAAAAATAAAGTAAAAATAGCTTATGCCAAATATTCCCTTCCCCACAAATACAGGAGGAGGAGGGAGAGATTATGCTAGATTGCTAGAAATACTTTTTTTTAAAAAATAAAAGGTATTCAATTTAATTGAATTTCGAATAAAGTGAAGTGAAATCAAGACTTGCTGAATTTTGGTAATTGCTTCCTCCAGAAAAAAAAGAGGTTGGTTCTTAAGAATTTAAACTATATATTGTGAAATGCATTAGGGTTTGGAGTCATTGAGGTACTTTTTTTACATAACATGTTTCAAATTTGTATTATTGATTGACTTCCTACAGAAAAAGATGAAATGGCAGCATTTCTTCCCACCTTTATTATTTCTTCCTACCTTTTCATCTCCACATACACAAATGATAAATTATTCTTTTTGTATTGTTAAGTTTGTGTCCTTTACATTTCATTCTGTAACCATAATTTCCATAGTTGTTTAAGTCTTAAACTTATATGTAAAAGGATTTAATGGTCACCATTAATCCCTTTACTATGGCTGCTCGTTCCCAATTTTATGATTTTGATTTATGTCTTGTTTAGCTGGATTTCATTATTCAATAGTCTTCCTAGAAGGGCTCAGAGGTGCTCTGTTCCCTGCATTCTAGCATGTTTGAAACTGTTGTCTTTAATTCTTGAAGGACAGGTTGGATGGTGATAAGTTCTGGGCCACTCTTTTCTTCACAACTGTGTAAATGCTGCACTGTCCTCGGTCTTGTAGAGAAGTCTGAGGCCGGCCGAGTCCCAGCACCCTCCGTCCTCACCTCTCCCTGTAGATGGCTTATTCTTCCATGAGGGCAGTTGGAGAAGCCTTTCGGCAAGATCAGCTATAATCTCCATGGGGGAAATGTTTTCTTCTCTTCTGTCTTTGGGTATGTTCTTCCTTTCTTTTCTTTTTTGTTTTGTTCACTACTTCAGAGGCACCATCATCCATAAATCTCTCATCAGCGTCTCACGTGCAGATCCATCTCCAGATACTTTGCTCTTCCTTTCTTTACATTCCTTGTGCTCATCTCATCTTTCCCATCCTCCATACTAATTCATTTTGAGGCTGTATCTTATTTATTCTTTCCTATTTTCAACACATTGGTTAGTTCTATCTTTTTATAATCTCCCTGCTTAGTTCTGATATTTTGGTCTTCGATGTATTTCTTTAAATTATAATCTTCCATCTTTGTGTGACCCCCTCATCTCTGATTTCCTATTCTCTCC